AAAGATGGTAGTGCATATGAGGCCTGCTATGATCTGCGGAATGGTCAGGGACAGATTGTTGATTCCCAGAAATAGCCCGGATCGGCTTGATCTCCTATGGTCCCCGCCTTTTCTCAGAATAAATTCGTCTGTTAACATAGTGTATGGAATTATCTGCGTAACTGCCCAACAAAATCCGGTCATTGCGGTCAGCGCAAGCATGAAAGCGGTAGAGTTTGTCAGCAAGATGCCGGCGACGAACGCCGAGTAAAGTGTTAGGGATAGCCTCCATATTCGTATCGGTTCAAGCTTAGGAATATTGAAAGCTACGGTGGTTGAATTGGTGTTGTCCGTGGTGTGGCTGACTAGGGACGGGAGAACCAGGCTCGTTGTCAGATGCACCACGGATTGTAAAAAGAGTGCCAGCGGTCCCAATCGCTCAGCTGTATTACCCTCACCATGGCCTTTGTCATCATTAGTCTAAGCGCTAGCAAGCTGTTTTCAAGAGTTCTAGCTTGTATATACGCACCCTTTTCTGTGATGTATCTGAAAGAAGGTCAGCAATCATGAAGTCATGAAGTCCACCGTGATTATAGGAACGTACCTGCTGATGTAGAATAGATATGGAAACCACGCAAACGATGACAAGAATTGGACCGCCAAGATTTTGGTCATACGCGTGGTGACAGTTTCTTTCAATTGTTGAACATAAGACTTATTTCTGAGTGGGTTCTTCGTTGTGAGGGCCCGGGAAGCGGGATAAGGGGGTGGTGTTTGGAAACCAGTCACGCAAGCGATGCTGATTGCTCCAACAATGATGATGCCAGATATCAGAGCCAGCTCCTGCATACGCAATTCGATTGTCCTCAATGGTGTCAGCCCATACGATAAAACGTAATACAACACACTTGTCAGGCTGATGACCCGGCTAGCCCACGCGTTGACGTCCAATTGCTGAGTGACGTGACATTCATCGATCATCTTAGCACGTGTCCCGGCTTGGACAGACTGCGCAGACGCATACAGCACCACAACAGCAAAAACGTTGACGAATACCTTGGTCCGGCAAGCTGGCCAAGTTCCCTCACAAGAACCATCTAAGTTATCCGCAATCGTAGAACTCCATGCTTGTGTGAGCAGCGCACAAAGCAATCCAATGCCGCCTACCAATACGAACGGTTCCCGTCTACCCACCTTCTCCTTCAATCTGTCACTCAATATCCCGAAAACTGGCTGGAGGGTGGCTCCGCATAATGGAGGAATAATCCAGACGGATGCGATCACGGTAGGGCTGATGCCAATGTCTAATAAGAAATCCTGTTGTCCCAGTCAATACCGAATAGTGATTTAGAATCTGAAGTACCCACTGTGCCATCTGCAAACTGAGAGCAATAGGCCGACTGTAGGCTTTGAATTGGTCAATACATGCACGTGTAACTTATATGGGAAAATTGACGGACCCAGCCAAGCTGATTGTCAAAACGAGTATCTCACAACTCGATTTAGTTGACGGATACGATTGCTGGTCCATGTCCTCCATGAGTAATCCATTTGAAGATTCATCAAAGCCTAATTCTTCTTCATTTTCCTCTTCGTCAAGCTTTGGTGATGGCACCCGGCGCTCCCCATAATGCTGTGCCACTGCCATGATGTGCATCGGCATGCGCTCGTTTTACTATCGGTAAGCAACATGCGTCGCCGTATGGATGTGTCTAGACACGGACAAACGGCAAATAAGTAAGAAGTATTAAGGTTTAGCTTGTACTTCCTGAGATTTAATGGCAAAGGGTTACCTCTATCCCCGAAACGCATATGCAAGATATTGGACTCAAGATCACACTTCTCTTTCATCAATATAGACCCTAATTGAGGAAGACCCGTTACTAGGATACAGGGTACGGCGAATTCCGATAACCGATAAAATAAAGAGTGCGAAGCGAATGCTAGTTTCGAGACAAATACCGAAACCAATTCCGAAGCAGTACCGATTCCGGTACAAATGTCAGCATGATCCGAAGAAGCCAAGACATAGAACCGAAGTACAGGCCACAGCCGTGATAAGGAAAATAAGGTAGTGCCGCCCTTTGTAGCTATCCGGGCAGCTCGGGCTCGACGTCTGGGGTGTCCCAGTCCCACGGCCTGTTCGTACATACCCCCTCACTTTCTTTCATCGTAAGCCATCTACATTACTGCTCACGCAGCGCTTTCCGAACCCCTTTATTACGAATATTGCGACCCCTCTTCTGCACCTTACAGAATGGAGGCCATCAAATCGACCTTCTCGCGGCTTTCGCTCAGATCGTCACCGCGAATGCAACCAAGTCAGCACTATGTCGACGACGACGAGAGCCAAGAGTATAACGGAGATGAACAAAGACAGGGTTTCCTTAGGCCTAAAGAAGAGAGCCAGCCTACTAAGTTTGGAAACGAATCAGCAAACACCGCCACCCAGCCGTATTCCGTGTCGATATATCGCGTGGTGGCAATAGTCGCTAGCGCCGTAGTTTTGACGGCGGCGGCATCGGTTTTCTTCGGCCGGTCCTCCACGGGCAGTCCCGCGAACGCGGGGGATTACCAAGACGTCTCCGAGCACGCCACCAAGGTGATTGCTGATCTAATCGCTGATTCGGAACCTGCGCAGTTCCGCATGGAATCTCCGTGCGGCTCGACGGCGGAGGAAGCCAAGGCTCGGGGTTGCAACTTTGATACCATCTCCTTCTGCTGGCTTCCCGATGAATGCTACGATTCAGACCTGGTGGCCACGTTCGAAGCGACGAGGAATTGGGAATATTACGCGGATCCCGAGGTGAGCATTGAGGATTGAGGATTGTTTATTCCCTTTTCGGGACTGTCTCAGAAGCAGAGACATCCCTAATGAGCCTACTTGAAAGTTTTTGTTCTCGTGGCGTGTTTCTTGAGTCCCTTTTGACTGGACGTAGTGATTATTAACCCTTGACTGTGATGAAAAAGGGAAAGCAGCCTATCAGCCACGAGGAGCTTGTAGGAGGCCACGGCAACAAACTCTGGGTTAGCTGGGAGTACCACCTTCGACACTGCATGTTCATGTGGATGAAGCTACATCGCGCCGTCCTGGCGAAGGGGAACCCGGACCAACCCCTGATTGATAGCTACATTGCTAACCTTAACCATACTAACCACTGCGCCACGATCCTGCTGACCGATCGTGATGTCGCTTTCCCTACGCTCAACACTGAGACACTTGTCAAATATCCAGACTGTGGGATGCTCTAGATGCGGAGAGCAAGAGACATTGGGGGATTGGAATCGTTGGACGCTTATAATGTAGATTACTTGATGTACGGTATATTTTCATATCTGTTGATATAATGCATCTGTGTCTGGGAATAGTCTTTCTGCTAGGACTTTACGGGCGTTCGGAAAACGCTTCGTACCGGCCCTTGCCGGGCCCGGGCGGGTCGGGCATCCCATGCGTCAGGAACCAACAGGCGAGCAGCCCAAAACTACCTACACTAAAAATAAAATAACCACTTGGGGCTACTTTACAGATTGGAATCGGACGAAAGAAAGAACAAGATGGAGTTGGAGTGCGAAGGTTCTGGAATGGTCGCGCTCCTAGCCCAAAAGAGCCGTATCCTTTTACAGCTAGGCTATACGTACAAGGAAAACCTCTCAGTTTTTTCTCCTGAATTGGGCTCAACTATTTGATAATTTTTCTATTTATAAACCTATTGCAGTTGGGATAGCCACAGATGGTAACTATGGCTGGGTATCTTTTCTAAGTTTAGAAGGACTTAACTGCTTTATAAGGGATGTTCATGGAAACAGGCTCCGAGAGGAAATATGGAACGTGTTCTCGAAGTATCATCCTTTAGTCATACCCATGACCATAAACCAGCTCCGTGAAGCTAAACAGGAGGCTCAAGAAGTGGAACGAGATAAAAAAAACAGCTTGAAAGACGAATAAAAAGAGAAGCAGCTCCGGATCAATCGAAGAACACCAATTGACATTTCTGACGGAAATGAGGCCGTTATCGCCAGGTTGGTAATGATTGCATATAGGGTTCTATATCTTAGTGAAAACATTCAAACTTCTATGCGGGTGTCAGGGATTTAGACTCCGGAATGAAGTTAGGTTACAGGTAGATCGCTGGTAGACATAAGTATGGGGGTAAGGGCTCAATGTCATTGATTCCTGAGTCCTTCCCAACTAGTTAGGGTGGCTTCGGGCCTTTATATAGCTAAGTCTCATTCTATGTCCACACTAGGGGGACCTTCTACCCCCCCTGCGACCTAGGTGCCCGACAGCGGGAGGTCTACGCGAAGGCTGTACGTGCTAAACACTACGGATTGGAGGCCTCGTGTTCAACAGATATTGTCTCAATGAATCTATTTAGCTCTCCCTTATCTGAAATATGTTGGCAAGGCCCACAGAACCGCATATATAGAGACCTGGACTTAAGCCTTGTTGCTGGGAGGTTCCGAATGGCCATATAAACACTTGGCACCATGGAAGATTATTATGATTATTATAATCCAAAGCAAATACTTGAAGTCCTTACATAGGCCCTTTTTATAGCAAATGATGGAAGTAATGGTTAGGTAGCTGCTCTCCTGCACAAGACACACTGCACAACAAAGAGACTTTTATATTTAGCTGAGAAACAGTCTACAAAGGTGTTTTGAGACTTTTGCCCAATAACAAGTGTCTGCTACCTGGTGTGGACGCAGCGTTTCTGATAATCCCAGATATCGCCTGGTATCGTACTGCAGCCTGCTTCACTCTAGGTAGCTGTATGTAATACATCAAGTAAAGGAGTACAAAAGTGGATTACCGAGGTCTACACCTACATGTGTAGGTATATGATAGCCCGGGTAGCTGCAGGAATCAAGGCCCTCTAGCAACTTAAGCCTTCCCATGTATCTCAAAATTCCAGCAACGTTTCTCGCGTCTTTCTGCCTACCTTACCGTCCCTTCCTTTCAACAGTCACATTACCCTTATCATTCCAACTAACGCCCGTGGCTTCAAGCAATCCCAGAAGGAAGGATGGCTGAGTGGTTAAAGCGCCCGATTGGGGTCCAGGTCCTTTACGGGGCAAGGGTTCGAGTCCCTCTTCTGTCGAGCCAAGACATTACAGAACTGGAGTTGTAAGGGCCTCCTCGAAGGCGCGGGTCCTGCTCCTGTCGTGATTTTTTTTTTTTTTTGCTTTTCTGCTCTTTTTAACCTTACTTTTTACAGCAGCCTAATATAAGATAACAGCTATATCTATATGCAAGGCGACCTCCAGGTCTAGCTAGAGACGCCGGATTGCGGAGGGCATGATAGGTCGGCACGACCGCACCTTCAATATGCTCCCGCCGTCGCGGATAAAGCGCCAATGGACGCTGGCGAAGAAAATAGGGCTAGCTTCTTCCATAATCTGTCGGCATGTCTGAAGCAACGCTGGGGGCGCCGTGAAGCTTCGCTGGTTATAGATATAACCTCGCGTTGGCCCGCAAAATGCCAACTCGGTAGTCTCATTATTGCAGCGTACTTGTATATTACAATGCGAATGTCAAGTGTCAGGAGCATCAAATGAGGACTTGGTCGGGAAGCAGCTTGTTGGTGTGTGGTGTGTATGTCAGAACCGCCGACGTTGTGAAACTACGTGCGCGGATGTGATTAGGCTAGGAAAATGCAAAGTGTCCAAAAATGATATTATGCGAGCATTTCCTGCCGCCCCAGTTGATGATCCTTTATAAATAATAGTCCGCGTGCTCGTCCTTTGGTGGACGATCCCACCAAAAAGCAAACCGGTTTTGCGAACCTGCCTAAGAGGGTACCAGTACCTTATGCCTACTGCTGATCCAGTCAGCTTGCCATCTGAACCAAACTCTTACCTGAGCACTGAGTTGTATTGACCGGAATGCCTGCACCTCTTTCATCCCAAGCCCACCATGCTCCCCAGAGACGCAAAGGACTTAGAATACAAGTTTAACTGAATAATGTTGATTGGATTGTTCTGGTTAGCTGCAAGGTGGTTCACTGCTATTCTACTACTCTATATACCTACCTAGGCACCTAGGCAGTTAAACTACCTCAGGTCCTTATATGTAATTAGTAGTAAGTAGCTGAGGAGCGTTGTAGAAGTTTGGGGTATTATATGGGGTTTTAATTTCGTGTGAGTTCATAGAATTCGCTCTATAAAGACTGTCTGTGATACTATCTCATTACATTATGAGGTAGGTAGGTAGGTAGTGAATTGGCCCGGGGAACCTGATCACCTAGTACGGACTTTAGCGAAGGAGGTAGGCTGGGAATTCAGGGCTATTATATTTCACAGAATTAATTAATGAATCGTTTTATCATAAAAGAACGCCATAGAATTCGTAATAAACAAAAAACGGAAGCTAAGTGTGCAGCTAAGTGTGCAGCTAAGTGTTGGTGTAGATGGCTAAGTTTGGTAGTGAACCCTTATTCTTCCTCCTTTCCTGACCGCCAATATTCCTTATTGGAAAGCTTTGTATATGGAATTCAAGCCCCATTAAATTGACTAAGTCCCGTACACCTCGACCACCACTTCAGTATGTAGAAAGACAGGTGGCATTCAGGGCTTGAACTGGTGAACAACACACGTACCATTCTGACATAATATATTATATCCATCCACCGATGGTCCTGCTTGCCTTTGAAAGATTAAAAAGGATGCAGTGGCTTCTTTTTAGGTTTCATAAGCATTTTCTGGTTAGGCAAAATAAACGTAAAATCGTAGACGTTCATGTTCTTCGGCCTACCTGCACCAGGACGGAAGGCGAATTCGTAGTCTGCGAGCAATTTCACCAGCACCATTTTAATGACACAACTTGCAAAATGGCGTCCAGGGCATGCCAGCTTCCCGTAACCCCAGTTGAGGGCTGTGGGGGTGGGATTTGAGAAGCGGAATTCTTTGACGATCGTATCATCCAACTGACCGGCTTGACATCTGTTCTCCAGGGCACGGAAACGACGCAGGCCATCAAACCTTTCTGGGTAGGGCGTGTTAGTGGGGTCGTTCTCGATCGCTGAGGTAGCCATGCAAGTGTAAGTCCCGGCGGCGATGTGGGTGCCGTCTTGGAAGGTATAAGGAAGCTTGAACAGCCGCTTCATCCCAAGCACTGACGGAGGTGATACCCGTTGGGACTCGCATAGTACGCTGTCTAAGCGATATAACCTGTCATACGGCATATCGTTCCATCCTTCATCCATCGTGGCCGCGATCTCGGCGACAAGCTGGTCACTCAGTGTAGAGCCAGCAGCAGTCACGTCGTATAGTACACTTATTATCCGAAACAGATTGTTGTGAACAGACGCAAGGACAAGAAGTACTAAGATATGAGAGATGGTGTCAGGGTTACGGTCGTTCCCCTTGGCCAAGCCACATAACCAGCGAAGGACGTTTAAGTCATCTGCATCGTCCGCTCTTGGCTCCCACTTCCCCGAGTCATGAAGTTGGATTAGTTGCTGTATTTTTGGCCCCAGAATACGTCGTGCTAACCGGAAACACGCTTTCGTTCTCCAGTAGGAGGGAAGGAAAGGGTAGATTATCTTCTGCATCCAGCAGGGGAACATGCGCAGAATTATAGATGTAATAAAGACTTGAGACCCGAGTTAGACGTGGAAGCCCCTTTCATGTGTGCTAACTTACCATTCTCTGTGTACTTCACCGAGATATCGAACCACGTTGGGTCGTCACGTAGACTCGGCCCCACAATGACGTTGGCTGCAAGACAAGCAGAAACATGCTTTAGGAGGTGAAATGGCTGAACCTCAGTCCATCCCTCGTCTTTAGGGAAATGCGCATCGAAAACTTCTCTTGTTGACTGCTCCAGTCGAGGAATGAGCAGTGGAAGCCGGGGAGTTAGTCTGCGCTGGATGATGATGTTATTGAGCCTATTGTCGACAATCATGTCCAGCCCGGTGAAAGGACCAGCGAGATCCATAGACAGCGCTGATTGCTGGCTAGCGACAGTTTCGGGGAGAGAAGCTAGCTCATGAAGGAGGGTGTGAGGCAAGACAACCACGTTACCTTCGTATCGTAGAAGCTGGAATGCCTTATCTTTAAACTTGAGTACAGAAAACCACGATTTTAGCAAGTCAACTTGGTCATATGAGAGGATATCAAGTTAGTCAAGTGCTTGAATTACCTTTCTGTACCCGTTTCGAGCATTGGCCGCTGCTTGGAGAAGGTACAAGAGATTGTGGGCAAACAGCGGCATGAAGCTGACTGGGCTACCGACTAGAGGATAATTGGCTGCGGTCTGGACAGTCCTTCGCGCCATGGAAGCATCAATAATGAGGTACGCGAAAATTGAGCTGAATAGTACCGTCGCGAGTAGTTTAAGTGTGTCTTGCGGGAGCAATTGAAAGAACTTGACCCTTTCCATGGCAGTAGTGGAATCGAGGATTTTGACTTCGAAAACGGGCTGGGCAGAGAGAGAGATCAAATATTGAGCAATTTCTTGGCTGAGAAGCGAATGAAATCGGCGAGCTTTCTGGTACCACGAGTGCGATTTTGAACTGTATTTATATAGAGCACCATGTCTTGTAGCGTTAAAATGCAGGGTAGTAATAGGACGGCAACCTTGCATGGCATAAGAGGGTCGGCAGTTAGCGCTTTTCCGGCAATCCGCCACCTTTTAAACATAAGCAGGTTCCTGTATCTAAATTGCTGTCTTCTACACTGTTAGAATCAATCAAGTATTCAATTGGTATGTTATATTAATACACAGGAGGTTAGTTAGACGCCATTATACATTACTGTGCTTCGAATATATTATAAGTCATGAAAGCTATAAATACATTGAGATACGCGGCTCTTTTGTCATAATTATCCGGACGCAAGAGCGATCCTAGTCTTGCTGTCGCCCATGTTGAGAGTCCATTTACCAAAGGCGGTTTCTCTAGCCTTCACTTCTACCTCCACATCTTGCTTCGGATTGAATACCGAAACTAAATCGCCAGTATGAATAGCCGGGTTCTTTTCCCACTGGCCGTTGTTTCCCGTGGGTACTAGGTCAACCCGCATCGCGAGCAATGCCACAATGACTAAGATCTCGGTAGCAGCGAACTGCCTCGCTGGACAAAGGTGAGGTGGAGTACCCCAGCTTAAGAAGCTACTTGAGGAAGGGATGCTGGATTTCGAGTCACCCTGTCCACCCTTTCGAGCCCTTTTAGACGTGAAACGGTAAGGATCAAAGGTAGTTGCGGATTCTCCCCAGACAAGAGTGCTCCCATGAACTGAAGAACTAGGGATTAGGCAATAGTTATTCTTGCGTAAGAGATAGCTCCCATCGTCAAGGAATGTATCGATCAGGACCTTTCGAATATTTGCGTGTGCATCGTGCGTGCGTTGGACCTCCTGAAACGAGGCGAGGAGGAGCGGGCATTTGGTTTTAAGAGCGGCCACATCAAGCGCGAACTGGGATATATCCACCCCGCTATATCTCGTGGTCACCTCCGCAATAGCATTTGTTGCTATTTCCTCCCTGACTTCTGCCAGTAGACTAGGTCTTGAATAAAGCTCATAGATTGTCCAGAACAATGTTGGCGCCGTGTTACCAAATATCGCAACACAAAAGCTGCTCTCTTGTCTAGCAGCATCCTCGAAACTCATCCCACTTTCCCTGAGTATGCGCTGGCGCTCACATACCACCTTTGAGGCGTCAGGGGGTAGCATGGAGCAATACTTTAGGAAGCTTTTGTGGACGGTTTCGCGTGCCTTAGCGGCTCTACCCATCAGGTCCAAACCTGTCATATGTGTGGGCAGGTAGATTTGCCATTCCCTGGTATGATGTGCTGTTAGCCGCAATAAAATATTTGTGGACATTTTGATGGAGCGCTTTTCGTGTTGTGTGCGGGCTTGTCCTTACCAAAATGCCTTTTCCACTTTCAAATTACGAAATGGGTGTTCCGCACCGAAAACTCCATTGCTGCTGGCTTGTATAGCCGTATGTCTTGCCCACTCCAGAAGTGAAATTCGATTTCCCTTACCATCCTTTACCAAATTTCCTACCTCAATAACACTCACTTGACCTGTACGCATGTTCATCTCATCCAATGGCCTCCCGGGCGCTAGTGTCGCCTTAATCGACTGGCTATAATCC